AAAATAGCCCATATATAATGTGTGGGAATAATTTTCATGAAAATGGAGATATCTTCACCAAATTGAAAATCAAAGAGTACCATTCCATATGTCTACATTATGAAGGGAAGTAAAAAATATGCAAAAATGAGCACAAAAAAAACATTTACTAAAAATAGACACCTTCATATGTCAGAATCTTGTCCATGTCGAAAACATTCATGCCAAATTTCAATGCAGTCTGACAAGCAGTTTCATGTAGTTATTTACACAACTGAAAGGTGAATATACTGGTCACGTTTTGACCGTCAATTGTGAATATTGCACGTGTAAGATACTTGACGGCATTCACTGAATAAGAGTGTGCTAACCTGAAATATTGTGATTGGATGGAATAGAATTTTTGATCCAGAACCAGGGTTACCAGGCACATCTGGTGAACTGAGGACACAGTTCGGATGGATTTCGATCCAACTCGCACCAAAACCAACTCGCACCATACTAACTCGCACCAGACCAACTCGCACCACGATCATATTTCTAAGCATTTGTGTGGTTTGCTTTGTCCCTTTGTTGCTAGGGACGTTTCTTGGATAATAAAAAATTACCTAAAGTAGGGTCTGCTGAGTTAACCAGCGGCAACCGGTACAACCGCCTATGAGTGGGAGGCGAACGTACCGGCGACTGACTAACCATGCCGACCCTACTGTAGGTCATTTTTAAACTCAAAGAAAACGGACTGGCGATTTCTGGTAAAAAACTGCATTTATATCGAATTAATCACGATCAAAAGTGAAACTGACTGAAACCCGACAAGAAGTCCGCCATCGGGACGCTGATGGAGTGCGTGGTGGCGGGGGTCACGATAGACAATGGAAGACTACTGTAGTACATTCAAAAACTAGTAACTTGTTTTTTCAATGTATGTGCCTTGACGGGCGAAATAATATACGATAGAAATTACATAACATCGGAGTTCTTGAAATTATTAACGGCGAAATAATATACGATAGAAATTACATAACATCGGAGTTCTTGAAATTATTAACGGCGAAATAATATACGATAGAAATTACATAACATCGGAGTTCTTGAAATTATTAACGGCGAAATAATATACGATAGAAATTACACTACATCGGAGTTCTTGACAAATACTAACGGCGAAATAATATACGATAGAAATTACACTACATCGGAGTTCTTGAAATTATTAACGGCGAAATAATATACGATAGAAATTACATAACATCGGAGTTCTTGACAAATACTAACGGCGAAATAATACACGATCATAGAAATTA